GTTCTCCCTTTTCCAGCTCTTCCCTTCCAATCCCAGCTCTCCCTCTTCAGTAATTCCATTTTATCCCAGCGTGGCTGAGGTTGGAAGGGACCTCTGGAGTCACCTCGAGCTGGTTATCCCAGACCATTTCCCAGGGATTTGGGAGTATTTCCAAGGATTAGAGATTCCACAGGTTCTCTGGGCAAGGCAGGCAACCACAAATTAACATTTCCTGACGCTCAGATGGAGTCTGGGGTTTCCTGCTGTGGTTTGAGACTTGGAGTTGGAATTAATGAAAAGATTCCAAGTGGGAATTTGCAGCTTGGGGGGCCACCAATTATTTTGGATTTCCAGTCTCTTGTGTTTTGGTCTCTGGTTTCTCCAAAAAGAGTCTCCTGATTCCTTATCCTTTCTGGATTTATATCCATGGATAACACCCCCTTGTTGGATTTCTATACATGGATAAGACCCCTTTTTCTGGATTTATCTCCATGGATAAGACCCCTTTTTCTGGATTGATATCCATGGATGAGGTTCCCTTTCTGGATTTATCTCCATGGATAAGATCCCCCTTATTCTTTCTGGATTGATATCCATGGATAAGACTCCCTTTCTGGATTGATATCCATGGATAAGACTCCCTTATCCTTTCTGGATTTATATCCATGGATAAGATCCCCTTATCCTTTCTGGATTTATCTCCATGGATAAGACCCCTTTTTCTGGATTTATATCCATGGAAAAGATCCCTTTTCTGGATTTATCTCCATGGATAAGATCCCCTTATCCTTTCTGGATTTATCTCCATGGATAAGACCCCTTTCCTGGATTTATATCCATGGATAAGACCCCTTTTTCTGGATTTATATTCATGGATAAGATCCCCTTATCCTTTCTGGATTTATATCCATGGATAAGACCCCTTTTTCTGGATTTATATCCATGGATAAGACTCCCTTTCTGGATTGATATCCATGGATAAAACCCCCTTATCCTTTCTGGATTTATATCCATGGATAAGACCCCCTTTTTCTGGATTTATATCCATGGATAAGATTCCCTTATCCTTTCTGGATTTATATCCATGGATAAGACTCCCTTATCCTTTCTGGATTTATATCCATGGATGAGACCCCTTTCCTGGATTTATATCCATGGATAAGACCCCTTTTTCTGGATTTATATCCATGGAAAAGATCCCTTTTCTGGATTTATCTCCATGGATAAGACCCCTTTTTCTGGATTTATATCCATGGATAAGACTCCCTTATCCTTTCTGGATTTATCTCCATGGATAAGACCCCTTTCCTGGATTTATCTCCATGGATAAGACCCCTTTATCCTTTCTGGATTTATCTCCATGGATAAGACCCCTTTCCTGGATTTATATCCATGGATAAGACCCCTTTCCTGGATTTATATTCATGGAAAAGATCCCTTTTCTGGATTTATCTCCATGGATAAGACCCCTTTTTCTGGATTTATATCCATGGATAAGATTCCCTTATCCTTTCTGGATTTATCTCCATGGATAAGATCCCCCTTTCTGGATTTATATTCATGGATAAGATTCCCTTATCCTTTCTGGATTTATATCCATGGATAAGATCCCCCTTTCTGGATTTATATTCATGGATAAGACCCCCTTTTCTGGATTGATATCCATGGATAAAACCCCCTTATCCTTTCTGGATTTATATCCACGGATACAAATTTGAAATTTATGTCCCTTTAGGAATTTGAAGAGCTGGAAGATTGTCAGGGAGAATCCAGATCCCATCCAAGGAGGTGCCTGCTGGATGATGCTCCCAGGAAATCCCACCACGAACAGGAATTTTAGGAGGCATTGGGATCTTGGAATTGGGACCTGGAAGCCTGGAGAAGGCGATGGGATCCTGTTTTAGGCCAAGCTTCTGGCTAGGAGCTGAAAGGAGTCTCCAAAAATCCTCCTGAGCACTGTTCCCCCCCCAGATGGAGCTGGGAGGGTTTGCATCCCAGTTTTTCCCTGGAATTCCTGGGGCTGGGAGCAGAGGGGGTTGGATCATGCAGGAAACACTTACGAGGGAGTTGTTGGGGTCTCTCTGGAGGGAAGAAATCTCCTTTGGGAAAGGCTCGTTCGTCCTAAACACAAACCAGCACAGAGTTGGCAACAGCAGCAGGAAAATCGTCCTTGTTATTGAAATTTAGAAATGAAACCAAAGGAATTTAAAGCTCAGGCAACCCTCAAATAATAAATTGATTCATTTATATACTGATTTTTAGAGTTAATATTGTAAATATATTTATATTTAATAAATATAGGTTAATAAATTAATTTGAATTATTACAGGTAAACAATTGATTGTAACAATTTAATTACTGGGGTTTATATTTAATATTTTTTAAATTATTTATATTTAATAAAATAATTTGAATTTATATGATTAAACAATTAATTGTAACAATAAATTAATTGTTGAGTTTAATATTTAATATTTTAAAATATATTTATGTTTAATAAATATAATTTCATAAATTAATTTGAACTAATACAATTAATTAATTGTAACATTAAATAAATTAATTACTGACTTTAACATTTAATATTTCAAAATATATCTGTATTTAATAAATATAATTTAATTAATTAAAATTAATGAATACCATTAAACAATGAATTGTAACAATGAATTTATTAATTACTGAGTTCAATATTTAATATTTTCAAATATATTTACATTTAATAAATATAATTTAATAAATTAATTTGATTTAATTAATACAATTAAACAATTAATTGTAACAATTAATTAATTTAATTACTGGTTTTATAGTTAATATTTTAAAATATATTTATATTTAATATAATTTAATAAATCAATTTAATTATCACAATTAAAAATTAATTGTAACAATAAATTTAATTACTGAATTTAAGATTTAATATTTTAAAATACATTTACGTTTCATAAATATAATTTAATAAATCAATTTAATTATCACAATTAAAAATTAACTGTAACAATAAATTTAATCACTGAACTTAATATTTAATATTTTAAAATATATTTACGTTTCATAAATATAATTTAATAAATAAATTAATTTTATTCAATTAATACAATGAAACAATTAATTGTAACAATAAATTTAATTACTGAATTTAATATTTAATATTTTAAAATATATTTATATTTAATAAATATAATTTAACAAATAAATTAATTTAATTAACACAATGAAACAATGAATTGTAACAATAAATCAGAATTCACTGGATTTGGATCCAACCTTGAGACCACACATCCCCCCAGACCAGGAGCAGAATTCCCAGTTGGAAAAGCAGGAAGGAGGGGCCTGGACTCACCATTTTCACGTGCATGGGTCTGTCAAAGAGCAGCTGCCCATTGAACATGGCTGGGGGTCGTTAAGGAGCATTGATCAAACCCGAAAACCCAAAAACCCCCCAGAAAACCACATTTGTGAAGTTCCAGACCCCAGAGCAGCCAAAATTTTGAATTCTCCAAACCTAAAAACCCTTTGAAATCCAAACGCGTTGAGTTTCAATATTCAAGGTTAAATATTTCAATATTTGCAGTTAAAAAATGAGTTGAAAATTCAGCCCAAATCCTGCATTCTCCAAACTCAAAAAACCTTTGAAATCCAAATGTGTTGAGTTTGAATATTTAAAGGGCTTTTTGAGTTAAAAAATTAGTTAAAAATTCAGCCCAAATCCTGTATTCTCCAAACTCAAAAAACCTTTGAAATCCAAATGTGTTGAGTTTCAATATTTAAAGGGCTTTTTGAGTT